AGTATTTGCTAAGGTATTTACATAATAGTTCGGGTGCGCCGTATCGTTTCGCTGCTCTAATAATGGAGTTGTGCGAGACTGTGTCGAATGCTCGCGAGATATCCAGTAGGGCGAAGGAACCTCCTGTGTGGTGTGTGTGGACGTGCCGAATAACTGAGTGGAGAAGATTAACAGCTTCAAAGCAACCGTCGCGGTGCAGGAAGGCAAACTGAAGTCTTTCTTGAGGGAATAGCGGCACCCATCTTCTGGCTAGAATTTTGTGTAGACACCTTGTGATCGTTGGGGCGACACTCACTGGGCGGTAGTCTTCGGGGTGTGTGGGATTTAGTGACTTAGGGATGAACGTCACTCGTGAGGTTGACAAATTCGTGGGGAGACACGCTAGGGCAAGCAGCATGCTCAGGTAACCGGCCAGACCATTCTTTCCAAATCGCGACAGGTCATATGACATCAATCAGTCTATTCCTGCGGTCGTACCATGCATTTCTTTCAGCGCCCATGTTACGTCGGAGGGAAGAATTGGTTCGATGAGGGATGGTGTGGTGTCGTTTATTTGTATGATTTCCCGGTTATCCACAGTTCTGGGTTTAGTCATGGCAGAAGTCCAGGTTACTCATACGCGATTAATACACTCAAACTCAAATAGTCGGCAACACACCATCCCTCATCGAACCAATTCTTCCCTCAGACGTAGCATGGGCGCTGAAAGAAATGCATGGTACGACCGCAGGAATAGACTGATTGATGTCATATGACCTGTCGCGATTTGGAAAGAATGGTCTGGCCGGTTACCTGAGCATGCTGCTTGCCCTAGCTTGTCTCCCCAAGAACTTGTCAACCTCACGAGTGACATTCATCCCCAAGTCACTAAACCCCACACACCCCGAAGACTACCGCCCAGTGAGTGTCGCCCCAACAATCACAAGGTGTCTTCATAAAATTCTAGCCAGAAGATGGGTGCCACTGTTCCCCCAAGAAAGACTCCAATTTGCCTTCCTGCACCGCGACGGCTGTTTTGAAGCCGTTAATCTTCTCCACTCAGTTATTCGGCACGTCCACATACACCACACAGGAGGTTCCTTCGCCCTACTGGATATCTCGCGAGCATTCGACACAGTCTCGCACAACTCCATTATTAGAGCAGCGAAACGATACGGCGCACCCGAACTATTATGTAAATACCTTAGCAAATACTACGGTGACGCCACCAGCTGTCTCAATACCACGGAGTGTCATCCAACATGTGGAGTTAAACAGGGTGATCCACTTTCCCCGCTACTATTCATCATGGTCCTTGATGAAGTCTGCGCCCGGACCCGATGGAATAAGTCCTCGGGTAACGAACAAGCGTAAACCTGAACGCACAACGGTGCTCTTCAATCTGATGCTAGTGCTTGAAATGGTACCGGATCACTTAAATCTTGTGTGTCGTATTTATCCCGAAAAGCGGGGCCCCCAGAGTTCTAAGTGTGTACTGGGACGACGCCTTCAAAGTATCCATCTCGTTTTAGAAGCGCCAATTGAGAATGAAGGTCCGGTATCGCGGTATGCTATCGTCTCGCAATGCCGCTGTGCAGGCATCTTACAGCTACTGACGTAGTTGATACCGACCTGAAATCCCCCGAACCCTGGAAAGTTTCGATTTTCGTGGTAAATACTACACATGCAAGATTTAAGTGATCCGGGACCATTCCAAGCACTAGCACCAGATTGAAGAGCACCGTTGTGCGTTCAGGTTTGCGCATATTTATTAACTGAGGACTTACTTCATCGAGTCCGGGTGCAGACCTAAATATCAAAGCGTCCAGTTAGAAATCTTATCTTAGTCGTGAGGTTATTGTCAATTATGAACAATCAGTTGTGGTATATCGACTTATTTCACCGTTGTAGTTATTGATTTTGTGATTGTTATTATTCTACCTGTAGAAATTTCAACTATCGTTTCCGCCCCAAATATATGTTAGTATGTTGAATACCTTCTTATGTTTGAATTCTATGGACTCTTATATCGCTTTGTTTATTCTAGATATTTGAATGTGGATAAGCCTATGTAGCTCTCTTTGTCGGTGTCGTAATTTAAATGGTTTATACTTACTCAGTTGGCGCCCTGAAGTGATATGTCCAGATCCTAATGTGATAAAATTTTATGCCAAAGTTAGAGAGACCAATAATGAAATTAAAAACAAGATTATACGATAATATTTTTACAATTTCCTTTATCCAATTTTTTAAAAAAAGAAACTATCCTCCTAAATCGATCCATTTTAATCATTTTTATGTGAATGAAATGAATATTTACAAATGAGTAAATTTGAGGTTAAGTTAGACGAATCTTATCTAATTTCGATAACTAAGTTGATTACAGTATATAGTAATGAACATCGTCTTATTTATCACTGAACACAAAAAATATTTATTGGGTGGAAACATGGAAAATATGATAACGAATATGACTTTAATATATTCAGAATTATGATGACTCTTGAATGATCTGTGAATCACTACTTTAAGGTCAATTGTTCGATATTTCTTAACTTTCATCAGTAAGCGAGAGGTTTCTCTTTCAAATATTTTACAAATTACGTTTTTACTTACGCCTGTTACGTAGAGAAGCACAGGCCACTGACTACCATTCTCTATCCAACTCTATCCTGGGCAATCCATTCCAGTAGAGGAACTAGAAATCCTAGCTGAATGTTCACCGGCTCAGAAATGGATAGGCAACCAACGGGATAAGTGCTTTGTGGCAGCCTTTTTGGTGTCTGGACTGGACCAGGTGTACGGCTAGGCCAATTAGGTCTGGTGTTATGGCAGAGCGACAACCATAAACCGTGCTCAGGATTTGGGGGTACGGGGGTCGACACGATACCTAATTGTGGCATGAGCGTGAGGATACTAAATTGTTTGTAGACGACTTAATGTTTCGTCGGGGGGACGTACGTGCTCGAGCAGCTTTCACACTGCGAGGCATTGAATCCTATCCCTGCTTGACGTAAAGATTTGAGGATATGTTCTATCATTTCCCGTATGGTACTAAACTTCGATCTCCTCTAACTTGTGTCTGAAATTGATTGGTGAATAGTGATATTTTATACACTATCCTGGTATAATTACTATGATTTATCAAATCATTCATTTTTTCTTCATTACTTTTTAATTGCAAAGTGCCAATTTCATTATCACTAGTAACAGAAGATACTCCATTGAGAGCTTTAGAGTAACAACAATGTTGGAAACAAAAGATTGTGAGTTAATCGGTTGAGAACGTACGTATTCTGCAAACATGGACGCCAACTACTTTGAACTAAATTATTTATTACGAAAATAAAACATTTTAGTCCGTCACACTATTGCAAAATACGAACTTTTGACAGAGCTAATTCTGCATATTCCAATGTTATCCCCTGACTTTTACGGATGCATATTGCCCAAGCCAGAGTTAGTGGTAATTGACGTCGACTTGCGATTTCTTTGGCATCAATCCCACGAATCGTCCACTTTTCAATTTGCACAACATGTAAGAGGCCATTAGATCCATTCGCTTTTGCGGGATAAAATCGAACTTCAGGAAGACCAGTATCACTGTTTATCTTTCCTACTATGCCTCGTGCTCCGTTGACAAGTCCACGGCTAGTATCCAAGTTTCTTAGTAGCATTACCTGAAGTTTTATATTTACAACAGGCTGTTAAAAGAATAAACCGATTCATGCAATTTTGGACAATATGCCAAGTATAAATTTAGATCTAATTCTTAATTGTACTTTTACTGCTTTTTGGTTATTAAAAGTGTGAGGGGTGTAAAGCAAGTTTAAAAGTGTCAAACTTTGAGCGTTGGTAGGATTCGCTTCACGACATAATGCTCATAAGAATGAGAATTTATATTCAACCCTGATGCATACTTTTATGTGAACGCACATATCACTGATTCAAAACTTTCTAAATGGTATGCACAACACAATACAGAATGAGATAAACTGCGATAAATAAACGTGTTCTTACTTGAGCATCAACTTTTAAATTCAGTACAAAAGGAGCTGGGCAAGATGAATCTATTGTAGTTGAAATACCTTTTCCAACTCCCTTGTCTTGAGATCGATAAACTTTACATGAGCCTATTTGAATAAGTGAACAAGGAAATAAGAAAATTCGTAAATAAATTTCATGGAAACTGTGACGTTTAACGTTATACTAACACTAACTGATTTGGTATTACATATAAAAATATGTTCATTTACATCACCTAGGTAAAACCTCTGGAGTGTATTAGAAAGTACTTTTGATTCAGAATATAATTTAAATGTGTAGATATTGGAATTTCTGGAGTTGAAATTCTCAAATGTATGATGTTAACATTAAAAGGCGTTGTCTAACAATTCCTTGAACTTTACCACATTGTTTTTCTATCGAATAAGATCTACTTTTAAGTTTATCCACCCCTCTGCCTACTTTGTTTCAAGACTGACATTAGTATAACGTTAAACGTCACAGTTTCCATGAAATTTATTTACGAATTTTCTTATTTCGTTGTTCACTTATTCAAATAGGCTCATGTAAAGTTTATCGATCTCAAGACAAGGGAGTTGGAAAAGGTATTTCAACTACAATAGATTCATCTTGCCCAGCTCCTTTTGTACTGAATTTAAAAGTTGATGCTCAAGTAAGAACACGTTTATTTATCGCAGTTTATCTCATTCTGTATTGTGTTGTGCATACCATTTAGAAAGTTTTGAATCAGTGATATGTGCGTTCACATAAAAGTATGCATCAGGGTTGAATATAAATTCTCATTCTTATGAGCATTATGTCGTGAAGCGAATCCTACCAACGCTCAAAGTTTGACACTTTTAAACTTGCTTTACACCCCTCACACTTTTAATAACCAAAAAGCAGTAAAAGTACAATTAAGAATTAGATCTAAATTTATACTTGGCATATTGTCCAAAATTGCATGAATCGGTTTATTCTTTTAACAGCCTGTTGTAAATATAAAACTTCAGGTAATGCTACTAAGAAACTTGGATACTAGCCGTGGACTTGTCAACGGAGCACGAGGCATAGTAGGAAAGATAAACAGTGATACTGGTCTTCCTGAAGTTCGATTTTATCCCGCAAAAGCGAATGGATCTAATGGCCTCTTACATGTTGTGCAAATTGAAAAGTGGACGATTCGTGGGATTGATGCCAAAGAAATCGCAAGTCGACGTCAATTACCACTAACTCTGGCTTGGGCAATATGCATCCGTAAAAGTCAGGGGATAACATTGGAATATGCAGAATTAGCTCTGTCAAAAGTTCGTATTTTGCAATAGTGTGACGGACTAAAATGTTTTATTTTCGTAATAAATAATTTAGTTCAAAGTAGTTGGCGTCCATGTTTGCAGAATACGTACGTTCTCAACCGATTAACTCACAATCTTTTGTTTCCAACATTGTTGTTACTCTAAAGCTCTCAATGGAGTATCTTCTGTTACTAGTGATAATGAAATTGGCACTTTGCAATTAAAAAGTAATGAAGAAAAAATGAATGATTTGATAAATCATAGTAATTATACCAGGATAGTGTATAAAATATCACTATTCACTAATCAATTTCATACACAAAGTAGCTCAATCGAATAATATCCTTTAACGCGAGCAACTTGTCAATTCCTAAACAACAACAATAATAAACCAAAATGATAACCTAGCTCTAGGAACCATTGAAAACAAACAATTAGAGAAGTTACCATGTTTCTCTATCTTGGCAGAATATTAAACAACGAAGGATCGGCAGACAAATTGATCACACAAAATATAGCCAAATCAAAGAATGCTCTAGTCAGAATATCATCTACCCTATAAAGTAAGGAACAATCTGTCAAGCAAAATAAAGATAATCAATACATTATTAATTCCTCATCTTACAGTCTAGAATTCATAGTCCTAAGAAAATAAGACTGGTCGAGACTAGAAGCCGTCCTCAACACAACACGACATATAATCCTAAACATCAATGACAGAAAGGAACTTGACATAGAACAACTGCATGAAAAAATACAACTCCCAAACATTGCAACGAAAATGATGCAAAATCGACCTAACTTATGGTATACGGCAAACAAAAGATCAGATAACTTGATGACCAAAACCTTAACAAGTCACATAGCGAACTCATCAAAACACCGAATTGCACACACAAAAAATTGGACCAGACAGTTAACTCAGGACGTTAATGAAATGAAAGACAAGCTACCTACGAATTGGCAGAAGCATCCAACGAAAGTGAAAATTGAATCTACAAACACACATCAGCCCAAAATAATCGGTCAAAGACAACTTACTCATGTCAGGACATAAACTACAATCGAATGTTGGCCACAAAAAATATGAGTCGACACTTTAAAAATCATCATAATACATCCACTCCAAATCTCACTACAACAAATTTACAGTGCCCCCCAACAGATTGCAATAAAACATACAAAACAATCGGTTGACTAAATAGACATACCAAATCATGCCACCCTCAATACTCTCAACATCAAACAACGAAACACACACGCACCAAACGAATAACACACAACCATGCCTATATATATCCTTGTTTTAGGACTGCCTCAATCACTGTTATCATCCACTAAGACTTGGAGGTCACGTAAAAACTGTGACGGCGATCTATCACCCAGTGTTTCTCCTTGGAAAAGCCTTTGGATTCTATGACTGTCTGATAATGATAAACGGCTCATTATCCCTCGTCTTAAGTTGGTATATGGTTGTAATGATAGTGGACTTAAAATCAAGTCACGGACTTCTTTGGCGACTGAAGGAGGAACGATAGAACACAAACCTCTATAGCGAATTCCTTCAGCTTTAACATTGTGTCTCGTGAAATAATGCTCTAGTTGAGCTGACCACAACTCAGGAGCACTACGATCAAATTCTGGAAGTCGGGATTTCGTAACCATAACAGTGTCTATCTCCACTGGTGACAAATCACCTAGGTTTTTGGTTTGTATTGAGTCTGACATGAGCAATGTGACCGATATAGTAATGGAATTAGCATGGAAAATGGTTACTCAAACACGAATAGCTTAAGATAAAAAAGAACTATGTATATACCCAACTTAGCCTGAGCTGCCAACTTTGGGGGAAATTTGGCCCATTTTGGGGAAGCCGCTATAGTAAATTTTGGAGAAATGAGACTCAAACCCCAAAACTTTGGGGAAGGTATTTCACTTTGAGGATTTTCCCAAAACTCTGGGGAAGGCTATTTCACTTCGGAGATTTCCCCAAAGTTGCCAGCTCGGGCCCGGAGTTTACGGATAATCAGGTCTACTTTTACAACTAAGTCAAAAAAATAATACTAATAACAAAAATGAGGTTAAATTTTTGTTCAATAGGGCTCACCAGTTTCGTGCTTCTAGGTAACCCTCGTGCTATTGACAGAAGAAATCAGACAAGTGAATAGGTTTGTAGCACGTACTATTAGCGTTGATCTGCGAGCAGGAGCGATCTGAAACACCACACAACAGTTAGAACCGACAGATGGTACTCAAGTGAGAACACGGCGTACGAGCCCAACATAGATATCTTTAAAAAAATTGAATTACGCGGTTTAAGTACAAAAACGGGAAGTCTATTACAAAATGGTTTTACTCATTATCTCGCAGGTTTAACTTGCGTAAGGCTTGTTCTTCCTCTTCTAGTACGTTAACTTTCTGTTGCCCTGAAACAAGGAAAACAAACTTGCATTAGTAAAGTCACACGTAATGGTTTTTGATACTGCTACAGGTCTTTATTTAGATCCTCGCGCAGTCACAGTGGATAGTGGGATTATTTGTTCAGACAAACAAAGCCTCTCAACAATCATTATAAGATAATAGGAAATATAACGCTTATACAAAATTAGGAAGTGAATGAATACTTGAACTATACTGTTTTTGGCATAGGCTTGCTTGTTTGAGGTCAACTTCTAACCAACCAACCTAAGCTGTTACAGGCCTAATAAGTCGATAGGCACATGGGTGAAACGAGAACGTGGTTGTGGTAACATGCCGATGGGTGAAATTGTGTGACGATGAATATGCCGAACAATAGCCAACCCATTTATGTACATCATTTTGTAAATTTGGCCATATAAATCTGGCACTGATTAGTTTAGTCGAAGTTTGAGACAAAGAGTGAAAGCTAATAAATAGTGTTCTTCTCATACTTTTGGAGGGGGTAAAGTCGTGGCATTACCTTGGCCGTATCACAGCAAATCAGAATACCATCAATAAGCTATGGTAACTGCCTTAGTTTGAGAAAAGAGTTGTTTGTTGTACGTAGGTTTCGTAATTCTTGATCTTTTGTTTGTCTCCAAAAGTCTCGAACTTTACTATAGACTGTAATATCACGTTCATTTCTAGTCAAGATAATACATCTGCTGCCTAGTTTTCCTGACCTTCCGCATGTCGGATATCACTTATGGACTGTGATATATCGTAAAGGGTGAGTATTTATCGGGTCAGCGGTTTGTGATCCGTAAAAATTATGAAGTACCTGCCTTCCAACATGTCTCAGAAACGGTTAATGGTTAGGTAGATTAGATAAGAAATTATTTCAAAATAGATGCAACAACACGTTGTACACAAAAAGATGCAGTAAGGATGATAAGTTACTGAAAAATGGTGAGTGATTATCAAACTAAACAGATGAACGTAAATGGACTTTCGAGAAATGGCGAAAAGCTGGATTTGGATTGTGAAAAGCTGAGTTGTAGCCCAGGTTGAACTTGGTTAGGAAACTAGGTAGAAGTAGATGTAGCAGCAAGTTGTACACGAGAAGACGCACAAAGGATGACGGATTACTAGAAAAGTAGTGGGCGATCATCAAAATAAACAGATAAATGTAAATAAGCAAAGAATTACCGAGAAGCCTGCCCTCCTCAAGGAACCTTCTAGCTTCGACATTACCCTATCATTCCGAGCGATACGCAGTCGCTGAATAAGTTTGCATTCCTGAAGGATATGCATCAACGGTTCTGCATTCACGCAATTACATTTACAGTTTAGGTCACCATTACTTCTTCCGCACCTTGATCCTCTTACCTTTGTTTTTAGGGTATGACCCCTCAGTTGTATCGCCTTACGATACACCCAAGAAAACATGCTTTCCGGGGACGTGACCATATGTGAGATGATGTGCTTAGGTCGGAGACTTTAAAGCCGCCACCATCTAGCGTACCATACAATCGCGTTTTCAACGCATCATAGAAGTCATCAGGTTTTGGTATCACGTGCGCGCCATAAGTCACACCACCGATAAACTTGGCTTCGTGTTGCTTGTATGCCTTCGACTGCCGGATGGACTGCGGTAAAGCACAATCCCTTGAAAGGAATGATTTAATTCGACAGGACCGTCTTACCACCAGCGGATATAGGGGTTCTTAGTTGTCTCGTTTTCAGCTTTGAGGATTGTGTGGTTAGGGACCGACGCCACTAGAGGTCTAACAGCATATACCGTGGTTTACGATCTAGTTAAACCAGTTTTAGTCTATCACGAAATATTTAGATTTCTTTGAGATAACGTTGAAAGGACCTTCGAAGGGGAGTTAAGCAGTGCTTTAATTTCATCACACCTTATCGATTGGTTCGATCCCTACATATGAATGTGGCTCGCGTTGCTCGCGAGTAGTAATTCGTTTGAGTTTGGACATATGTACACGTAGTTGATCTACGTAATTTCCTCTTGGCGATGTTAGATCCTCAGGACACATTTGATAAATACCTTATTTTTGTAACTTTATTCTAAAATTTTGAATTTATTGCTTTCGCACGAAAAGCGTACATTTTTACTTTCATGTTGTATTTCCTAATTGCGAGAATCTTAAACGCTATTATTTAGTTTTGTCCTCTATTGTACTGCTTTGTAACGCTTCCCAAAGGACAATTTTGTGCTGTGTATATACGTTTGATTTGTGCCCGTTGTTATTGCTTGTGCTTCTGGCCGCTTGCGGAATATATTCCCGCATTTCGAACCTGGACTTCTCTCCCTTGTTAGCGGGGCCAGGATGCATCAGAATAGCTAGCTTATTGATCAATACTCAAAAAGTCTTTGTTTCGTTCTCAGACTAGGTCAAATCGTGATCCTTTCAGACAATCAGGCTTTTTATGTCAGTATGAGGGTTAATAAAATCACTCGGTAGTCTCAAATTCGTCCCCAAAACCGGTCCCGCTGCTGAACATTAAGAGTTATTTTTGACATCTGTTGGCTGCAATTAAACGCAACTCAATTTCGTAAATGTGCCCTTCCGCTTAGCAACCAATCAGAATGAGGCGGGAATTATTAC